CGACCGCGTGGACAGGAGCCTCCCCGTGTCGCTTGGGGAAATCCGTAGGACTACTGCCGTCTTCGCCTTTGTCCTCTCCGAGCACCAGGACAAGTCAGGACCGCCCCACAGCTCCCCATCATTGTCGTCTTCCCGGCATGCTCGCTCCTATGCCTCGCCTCGTCCCCAACACTCCGATCCACCCTGAGCCTGCGTGAACTTGCCCCTGTGCTCACATTGAGCACCCGAGTCGATTCCCCTTCCCAGCTCGTTTTTCGTCGTTGTATCGGCTGCCCCGCCCTTGATTTGACCACGGCCAAGCTTACGCTCACCATCCTCGGCCGTGCCCTCGCATGCCTCCTGGCTCTGTTGTTGCCGTGTCCAGCCCGCACCTGCACCCCCGAGCCACGCCCTGCCTTGCCCACGTGCATGCCCGTCGTCGCCGCTCACGGCCGTGGCCCTGCTCCCCCGCGCGCCCGCATGCTGTTGCCGCCCATGGCCCCCTCACCCGCGTCCCTGCACCCGCTCATGCATTCCCAGCCGTGCCTGCCGCTGCTCCTGGCCGTCCTCTAGGCGCCACCCCCACGCGCTGCTTTCGTTGCTGCCTTTGTTGCTGCCGCCATTGGCTGATGCGGCTGCTTGTTGCTGCCGTTCCTGCCGCTGCTGCTAACCCCCGATGCTGCTCCCTGGCCGCCCTATCGTGATGCTCTGCCCGTGCAGCCCGCTCGCCAGCCACGCCTGGCCGCGCCCCGTCTCTACCCCGCGTCCGCGTCGCCCACTCTCCGTCGGGGCCATGCTCCTTTGCTGTGCGTGTGCCGAATAAGGCATTTCCTAACTGGTTGTGCGCGCAACCAGTATAGGGGCCGTTGCTGCACCTTGTGGATCCATGCGAGCCTGGCCCACATGGCCCCAGCATGATATGGTTTTTTTTCGAGGGTACGCCAATGACATACCATAGCTTTATAGAAGATAGAAAAAGTATTTACAAGAAGTGTCACTCCAATTGCGGACAATCGGGTGAGACACAAAACCCCAACTCCAACACCTACAAGAGGACTCTAAGCTATTCTCTCACGAAACGTTGTAAACCTCCAACTCCGCCAGCCGCTTGCCTCCATTCTGCCAGATCTGCGAGGATCATCATTGCCAGCTCCCTTGGCCTCCTTTGTTGCTCCGTCCTGTTATACACCCTCGCATTTCTTTGCTTCCAAAGGGCCCAAATTGTTGCAATGAATAAAGTGTCGAATCCTCTCTTCTCCGCTCTGTGGTATTTCTCCCTCTCTTTGAGCCACCATTGCAGTGTGGTGTCGTTCGGTGCTGGGTCAGCGCCCTCTAAGTGGCTAGTCTCCCAAATGGTGCACCAAACCTCCCTCGCGTAAGTGCAGCGGGACAGGATGTGGTCGGCATTGTCTTGATCTTGCAAGCATGTGTAGCAGGGAGAGGGTTCTTCTTGCAGGCCGTGACGTGCCCGTCTGTCCGACGTCCAGATCCTATACTACATTGCTAGCCAAGCGTATATTTTGCTCTTTAGTGGTGCCCAGCTCTTCCAGATGTAATTCGCCATTGGTGTTCTCGGTAAGGTGGAGCAAAGGCTTTTGTATATCGAACGGGCAGAGTATTGACCTGACGTCGAGCAAGTCCAGCTGAATTTGTCCGGCTCTTGTGTGTTCCTCCATACCGCGCCAATGGCCTGGCAAAGGTGCATGCACTGCAACTGTGCCGTAAATGAAACCTCCGGCTGACAATCTGCTTCCCATCTGTTATCCTGGAGTGCCTGCTGCACCGTGCGCGAGTTAACGACTCTTGTCGGCACCGTGGCCAAAATCAGCGGCGCGATATCCGCAACAGCAAGCCCACCAACAGCAAGCCCACCAAAATCAGCGGCGTGATATGGTGATTTATGTTTTTCCGGCAAATACGAAGCAAATACATATTCTATCGTATCTCTCCTACGTACGCTCGCCCCTAGCCTGTACTCGCCTACTTCGCCCGTCCACTACCCCCGTGACCAGGCTGCCCCATCCACCAAGCCATTCAAATTTCGAATCTCATCAGGTAGACTGGGCTACATCGACCTGCTGTGCCACGCCCTACCCATCGTCGCCCCTGGATCGCGGATCTTGTGAGGTTTACGATTCAAGAATGAATCACGGTGGCGAGTCATTCATGGACCTGCTCTTCAGGTTTCTCCTCTCACAAGATCCGCTTCTTCTTTCTTCGTATTCTCTAGCAAATCCTCAAATCTTCATCTTCTCCTGTTCTTGGGCAGTTTTTGTTCCCAACCGGTCGCACCCGAGGGCATCCCAGATCTGGCGTTGCTAGAGGAAGGGGAGGAAGGGGAGGAAGACGACGAGTGCGGAGGTGGAGGGGAATATGGTGGTAACGACTCACTCAAGTTCTGCATCTCAAGTTCATGAAGGCATGGAAGATTTTCTCAATGTCCCAGATTGTGACAACACCGACAGTTACAAAGAGCCTCCATCTGAATCCCATCGCACTCCAAGCCCGTGGCCTCAAAGGTACTAGCACAATCCATCTGAATCCCAGCCATGCTAGTTATCTTTTTTCAGTAAAGTACCTAGCCTGATGAAGCCTTGAGGATTCTGGTGGGCCTATTTTGTTCAGTAAAGCTGTTGACTTGATGAAAAATTTAGTTGACGTAAAATAATTTCTACCACCAGCATTAGGGGAGCATCACCACTTCAGTCGCTATCATGGATGTTGACACGATAAAAGGAGAAAGAGCTTTACCGGGTTCAGTTGTTTGCTGTCAAAAGCTTATCTATCTCGCGCCCAGTCGATGATCCAAATTATGTTTTGTGTCAAGGATCATAAACTCGGCTATTGGTTTCAGTACATTTGATTGTCTGATTTTGCCGACTTTTCTTGCTGGCTATTATACTGTAGAATGTGCATGATACAATGTTCATTTTTTTGGAGCAATTTGGCTGTTACATATTAGTCAGATTCTGTTTTCATTCCAACTATGGTTAACATCTCAATCATATGTAGGATCCGTCTCGGTAAGATACCTGACCGCCACGCCTCATTGTTGGGAAGGAAAAGTGCTTTGAAGAAGGCCATGAGAAACTTCGCAGATAAGAAGTCAGCTATCATCGTCAAGCCAGAGATCAGTCAGGAATTTGACTCTCTGGACGAAGTGTACGACTTCTACAATCTATACTCTTGGGAGACTGGTTTTGGCATCAAGTATGGGCAATGCATAAGAAATGTTGACAAGTGCAAGACGGTCCAGGACATAGTATGTGGATGCGCGGTGAGTTATATCACACACTTTGCCCACTTGTGCACTTGCATTAGTAGTCAGTGTATAGTGGCTAATCTTTCTAGTTCGAAAACTCCACAATTACGACTGACTGTTTTCGTTCACCACCACTTTATTAGGGGAAACCACGTAGGGAGAATTCACATTCAGTATGCTGCCAATGTCCTGCACTTATGAGGTTGCATCGCACATCAGACCATGGCTGGTTCATCCATGAAATGAAGTATGAGCATAATCACGGTATGACACAAACATGTGGAGAGAAGTTGCACTAGCCATCTCACAGGCACATTGATGCCCATGCCAAAGACATTGTCATGCACCTTAGGAACAACAACATATCTTTAAGCAAGCTTTCGGTGTGATCGCAAGATTTTTTGGAGATATGGAAAACCTGGCCTTTAACAAGAGGTCGCTGTGCTATCTGTGCAAGAGGATGAATCAGCAACAGGGAGATGATGACATCAGGAAGACAATTCAGCCATTCTCTGAATTGAAAGAGAGGGATCCAAATTTTGTTGACAGTGTGCTTGTGGACGAAGAGAGCAAAATCAGAGCACTGATGTGGACAGATGGTAAGAGCCTCCACCAGTACAAATTCTTCGGAGACGCAATAACCTTCGACACAACATATCGTACCAACCAGTACGACATGCCTTTCGGATTGTTTGTTGGTGTCAACAATCACTTCTAGAGCATCATACTTGGAGGAGTATTGCGTCACGACGAAAAAACTGAGACCTTCGAGTGGGTGTTCAAGGAATTCGTGTCCTTGATGGGAGGGAAGGCTCCAAAAACAATTCTAACGGGTAATTTGAAAGCATATTCTTGTTACACTGCCATTCTACTGAACTGCTATATCTCCCTACATACACCTCACTGAGAAGGTCATTTCTTCATTTTTTGCAGATCAAGCCCGTGCAATGGAGAAGGCTATATCTTCCCAGTGGCCTGATACTACACACAGATGGTGCAAATGGCATGTACTACAAAAAGCAAGGGAACACCTAGGACCTGTTTATTCCAAAAATAGTGACTTCAGAGACGAGTTTCACAAGCTGCTAGAGTATATAGTGACAGTAGACGAGTTCGAAACTGCATGGGCTTGCTTAATTGAGAAATATCAACTTGAAGACCATCCATGGCTCACTCAAATATACGAAGTTAGAGCAAAATGGGCAAAGCCATATTTTGCAGGAGTCTTCTGTGAAAGGATGACCAGCACACAACGTTTGGAGAGTGCAAACCACATGCTCAAGCACTACGTGCAACCGGCATCGTCTATGAACAACTTTGTTAGGCAGTATCAGAAAATATTGTTCGACCGCCAATCAGAGGAAGATTTTCAAGAGAAGAAGACTTGTGTGGTAAGCCATAGGAAAAGCATCATACATAGCATTCTTTTTAACCTTGAAACTGCATATGTAGAAATTGTCTTATGAAACTTATTGGCCACCGGTGTTTTCAGGGTGGCGTTGTTTTTAACCTTGGACTGCCACTAGAATACCATGCGAGCAAGGGCTATACCGCAGCTATGTATGAGCTGTTTCAACATGCAATTTAATTGTCAGGGTCATATGTGTTACAAGAGGCATGTCGGACAGAGCTAGGTGTGGTGTACATCGTTAACCACATCTATGCAGAGAGGAGGCAAGCTTGGTCCAGGACACAATATCATGTTCTGTTTGATGAGGAATCTGGAGGATATTTATGTGAGTGTGGTCTTTACTCACACATGGGCATGTTGTGTTGCCATGCTATCCAGGTAGGTCAAAATGAGTCATTTTATCATTCATTGTATGGGTTCAAGTTCAGTTCACTAAATATCAGAACCGGCGGTTACTTGGGCTGTTACAAAAATTTAATAACCTCCTTTAAATTCAGTACACTTACACTCACGAAATTACTCTGCAAGCATAGATTAAAATGCAATACATATATAGTGTGTTTAATTGACAACACATCTATTTTTCTTTCTTTAACAGGTCATGCTAAATTTGGGAGTTAGGGAGATCCAACATGTACACATCATGAAGAGATGGACAAAGAATGCTTGTGAGAACCTGCCAGAGCATCTGAAGATATATCAAGCAGGCAATTCCGCACTGAAGGACGCAACTTACCGACACTCTAGCTTGTACAGTAAGGCACTCGAGATTGTACAGATGGGGGATAAGAACACCGAAGCTTACATAGCTGCAATGAAGCAGTTACTAGATGCAATAAGTGTTCTAAACGATACCAACCAGGAGAGTGATGGGCTGGGATTACATGATAAGGCAGCGGCTCCAGTGCACGACCAAGATATGCCTGTTACACCAGGAGCAAACAAACTGTCAGGATCGATGAATGTTGTATCACGCAAGAGGGACCGAGGCAGGCCAACAAATGCAAGAGCAAAGCCAGGTTATGAAAATGTCAGTAAACCAAGATCAAAGTTTTGCTCTGTGTGTAGAGGGAGGGGTCATAAAGCATCTAAATGCCCCTCATATGGAGGCGCAACAAAGAAGCAAAGGAAAGTCCCGAAATGTACCAAGTGCGACCTGGAAGGCCACAAGAGGAATAGCTGCTCTGGAAGCTTGTTCGGCGTCTTCCAATGAGAATATCATGTTAGAGATAGCACTGCCCACAGAATTTGTGACATGCCTGGCTTGTGCTTGTTTTTGGTAGCGAAGGTCTTGACGTGCTGTTGACAAATATGAAAATTCTTTTTTCCACGGAACAATAAGTTTTTTGGTGGCCAATTAGTGAACATGTTTAATTCAAGACATGTAAACTTGGCAATGTTACAAGGATGTGTAAAGTTTGCCATTGTACTAATGTGAGTACAAAGTGCAACCAAAAATCTTAATGGGATGTTCAATTATGACAAAACTTCATATGGTCTTTCTTTCATATTTCATATGTTGCTCCCAGAGAACATGTCTGGAGACACAATATCCTTGATCTGACACATGAAATGGGTTGAGAAAACTGAAACATATTGAACACAGTGCACACCCCAAATAGAAACTTTTTGTTGAACATAAACATCATTCTTCAGATTTCACAAAAGGAAATGGTAGCGGATAGCACAATAGTAAGTAAATTGTTCACGAATAGCACATCAGCTTGAGCAGTGCAACAGTAAATGCTCCATACTAATCCGTAAGCTTGCTAGCTAGAAACAGGAGGAACACTAACAACACTACACTAAAAAGCATCCGCTTCTGCTGTTCGTTAGCCTTTTACTTGAGACGGGCTTCAGTCTGACATAGCTTTTCTTCCAGAGCCTTATTTCGTTCCTTCGTCTTGCACAATGCATCCCTCAAAGAAATATTAATGGAGCTTCGTTCCTCAATCCCCATTTCAAGGTGTGCGTTGACGCCATTGAGCCGAGCGTTCTCCCTCTGCAGGTTGTGCACCGTGTCGCGCAGATCGACCAAAAGTTGGCAAGAAAGTTTGCCAGCTATATGAGGGAGAGATAGATCCAGCAAGAACCAAGAAGAAGATAGATTAAAACGAATGCTTGCCCAAGTTTTTTGGCAGTTCAGAAACCTACGTCCAGGGTTAGCGTTGGTCCAGGAGATCCATCTCGCCCCTTTCTCTTTGCACCAGTAATTTGAAGCTGGCTCATATGCTAGCCTGTGCTCACGGTAAGGAATCGGAGATTGCTTTGGATAGTAGCCAGGATCTCCAGCATTGGAGGACGAGCGCGCTACTGATGATGACGAAGACGATGCCATCTGGGATACAACAAGCCTGCGGCCCAACCAAAGTTTCAGATCAGAGATAGGGTTAGGGTTGGGGAGGACGAGGGAATCTGGTTGCTACGGCTTCAGGGGGTGGGAGAGGGTTAGGTGGATTGGTGGTGGGAGGTAGGAGACGGTTTGGGTGTTTGGGGGGAGGGGGTATGACTGGTACTGCTAAATACCACAGTGACGGGTATGTAATTTTCTTTGGCAAAATAGAAAAATGCCGGAGATAATCTATTAGTGCGTGATAACCCTTAGTTACAAGACAACATTCATGTAAGATATATTGTGTCGCTTACCAAAGACCGTGAAACGACTGTGACGGTTATGTCGTGATTTTGAGATGATGGCGCCATGCTGATTATTTGATTGTGATATTGAGAAGTATAACAGAGCGACCACAGAGCCGCCACAGTGATTTTGTTCGCCATCCATTGGATCCTTTAACGATCGGTACAGATTTTGCCTCGCATCTCCTGATGCTGCAGCCAATCGTCTCTTGGGGCCGCTGCTCCGGAGGTTGATTTAGTAGAGTTGTGGTTAACTGGGCTTATGTTGGGCTGGTAACATTATCTGCCCCGCTCTGCTCGCACCGGCGGCAAAGCGCACTCTCGCCCTAAAAAATATGCAAATCAGATTCCTTTGCGGTGGCGGGTGCAAATTGCTCGACAGTAGCGACGTATGGCGTTGCTCGCGGAGCCGAAGAGAGGTGATGGCGATTGCTCATGATGGCTTCGCGGCCTGACGGCGGCGACTCCTGCGTGAGGAGCTCATCAATGACCCCGCCGATCGATAGTCCGACGCCCCCTCTACCAACTGCAACGACGGTACGACAGCCATCGGGGCTCACGTTGATAGGCCCCGCGAGGCCTAACAGAGACAGCTGATGGTGCCTGATGTCACCAAGGTAAAGACATCCGCAAAGAGGATGTCGCTCCGAATGGCCGCATTGATCGCTTGGTGTCGGGATGCAAGGTGCAAGCAGGAGAGCGTGAATGGAAGGGTGAGAACGGCAACAACTGCTTCTCTCTGGTTGTGCTTTGTCTCGGAGCTCGCCGGTGGCGTTATCATTCCACTGCCATCCTCCGTCTCTTCCTTAATGGACACCAAACAGCATAACTGCACACTACACTTCCTGCCCTGCTCTCCG